ACCCAAAAATTAAAAAAAGTTTAAACTACCCTCCCTTATTTTTACACACGCCTCTTTCTCTTTTTTCCCACGAAAAGGCGGTCCGACATATTCTTAGGGCAGTTCGACAGTGTAATGTTAGTCCGGTAAATAATAGTGGCGGTCCCGCAATATAGTGGCGGTCCGACACTGACAAAGAACAGTTCGGTAATAAGCCCATGCAGTTCGGCAATGCTAAATAGCGGTTTGGCAACAGACCTAAGCGGTCCAGCAACAGGCTCAAAGTGTGGTCGACTATATCAAAGAGCGGTCTGGCACTTTTTTTAGTTTAACGGCACCCCATGTAAGGCCACATTAATGTCCGGCCAAAATTAAATTTTTATGTAAGAAAAAGGGCATTTTCGTAAAAAAGAGTGTACCTTTTTTTACTTGGGGGGTATATGCTAGAAAAATGTACTTTGGGGAAAAAAATGAAAAAAAAAACTTTGGTTGGGGTAACTAGCATAGAATGTCTAGTCTTGAGGGTTACCTGTAAATTTTCCAAAAATCTTCCCAAGTTGATAGTAGAACTCAATTATGGGCGGAGTATACGTAATCAGATTAGGTAGGAAAGAGTTATAGGTCGAGGAATGTCTGAGGCTGCCAACCTCTTTATACTAACAAACTCTTGGGTCATTTGGATACCTGAAAATATATTGTCTATGAAATATATTATTGACATAATACATTAGTGCATAATATATTACATACAAATTGATTGTTACTGTTTGGGTAGTATTTAAATGCAACCTGGGAAATACATTGTTGTTACTTGACACGGTTTAATATGGAATTGCCTACATTGCACCTCAAATTTGTTATTCCATTGCTCTTATTAGACATACCAATTTAATATGGAATTGTATACAAAGAGAACATTTATCTATTGTGCACACAATCTTGTCCTTTAAATTTCAAAATGGGTGGTTGTACTAGTTTCATTGAATAAATATAAAATTTCAAAAAAAAAAAATCACTTCATGACTCACCTCAAGCCATCCAATTTGACATCTAATATTTGAGAATGATTGTGACCTCCATTCACAAAAGATAAATGGTTTCTTTGTAGATATTCCTATTTAATATTGAAATGCATATGTATAAATAGCATGACTATACCATGCTTGTCATGCCTCAAAAAGAGTCAATCATTATAATTTAAATAAAATATAATTTATCACTTGTTTATCTTGATCTAAATCCTAATAAAAAAATCCTTTTCTTTTTTTTCAAAATATTTAGTAATCATTATAATTTATGTGCACAGCTCCCTTGTAGAGAGAGACAGAGAAAGGAGGCTGAAAGGAAAGACGACTGACTATATCAGAAGCTCATACATAAAACATTTGGTTTTCATAAACGCAGACTGATGAAGAAAGAGAAAAGTTGAAAAAACGAGGGAGAGGAAAGAGAGTGGATTCGAGCAAAATGATGGGATAAAATAAATTGATACCATGATTTAAAAATAGCCTTCACTATGGAAAAGAGGAACTTGAGAGAGGAGAGTTTAAGAGAGAAGAGGAAGTGGTAGGCTTATCAGGTTGAGAGGGAAAAGAGGAGCTTGAGAGGGAGAAGAGCTTGAGAGTGAGGTAAGCAGTAAACTTGGTTGAGAGGAAAAGGGGAGCTTGAGAGGGAGAAGAGGATATACTCATAAGAAAGGGAAAATGATTTTTTAGACAGCGACCAGTAGATTACCCGTGATTTTCTAGATAGCGCCTAGTAGATTACACATCATGCATGTAAAAGATTTCTCAACCCTCTCGCGTGTAATAAATATCATAATGTTAAAGAATTATTGTGTAATTTATTTTCAGTTCTTTATTAATAAATGTACCCAAACAGTATAAATCACCTCACTGGTACCTCTTATTTCAAATTCTCTGTTAACTCTTCCTCTAAGCTCTCTGCACTCCCTCTCTCTCTCAAATCTTCCTCACTCTTTTTTGGTTTTCTACTCTCTCTCCCTTTCAACTCTCATCCTTTACTCTCCCTCTCAGCTCCACCCTTATTTTCCTTTTTCTTCCTCTCTTCTTTCCCAATAAAATGGGGCAAAACCGTGGAAACTCTAATCTACCATGGAAATGGGTAACAGAAAAACGTCCTCGAACAGTGAAGATTGGACCCAATAAAGAAGGCTGAAAAGTTGGTTGAACCACATCATAAAATCCCTGAAAACCCTGTTAAAACGGCAAGAGAAGATATAGAGCGTGAAAGCTTGCAATGGTCTCAAAGGCTCAGAAGTGCCAATAAAGATAGAAGGCTGAAAACCAATGGATTTTGGCCCAAAATTGAGATTTAGCATTCCAAAAAGGAGATTGAGGATGACCTTTTGGCTATGGGAGGAAAGCTGCCTCTCAAGCCCAAGAAGAGACCCACAGCTGCCAAGAAATACATAAGGGTTAGTTTTTTTGCATCTTTCTCTCTGAAATAGGATTGTCTGTTTGGCATCTCTTGTAAAGGATTCTTTTGTTGATTTTGCAGGATATCTGTATTCGGAACGATTTGCCTCATATTTCTCCTACTCGATATTTGGTTAAAGAAGCAAACAGTGTCCAAGAAGACAAGGATGATGTTGATTAAACTTTTTTTTTTTATCATCTTCTTTCTAAGATTCTTTATTTGTTTAATTAATTGTTTTGTTCTGTTCTTACAATTTTGAGCAATCGTGAGTATTGATTTTGTTCTTTGACAATTTACTGTCTTCATTTTCCTTTTTTTTGGTTATTGATTGTTACAATGTACATTCTTCCTCTTGTCAGTAAATATTTGTTTGGATTATTAATGTGAAATGTGAGATTTTTGTTTGAATTTGACAATACTTTTTTATTTAATATGTAGAAGAGTAAAAATTGTGCATTCAAATAGCAGTGAATTTAGGAATCTTTGGCTTACTGAAATACAAAAATACAATGAAAATATGTTTTTTTTTTTCTTTTTCTCTTTTGGGGGCAAGTAATGAACATATTTTAAAATCAAACTGAATATCAGATTGAAAGTTCCCCTTCTCTCTCTACCCATCTCCGTCTCTCTGTCGACCTAACCGTTTCTGTCCCAAAAAGGAAATACTTGATAAGGGTACTCCAAACTCAAAAAGAAATTAAGATTTGTAAATCTGATTTAGTATTCATCAAGACTTTTCAACAACTCCAAACTTTTCTGAAGTTCCGACAGATTCCGTGATCCGCAGAAACAGATTGCACTGGCTCTATCCGCAGTTCCTTTAATAATTTCCATTGCTATGAGGCAAGAAAAATTTTATTTTATTAGTTTTTTTTTTGTTTTTTGTTCCTTTTATCTAAAAAACACACTAATTTTGAGCTCTTAAACCCATAATGGATCAGGGTCCAAAGTCAATATCACATATAGAACTCGTTTAAACAATTTCTAAAATCCGTATCATTTTAAAACAAAAAAAATCTGATGAATAAAAATGATATCACCTTTGAAGTGAAACCGACCATCTAAGATGGTGGTTTTGCTGTTTGTTCCAATGTGCAAATTGGTCCCATCAGGACCACTAAAACTTTTCCCCCATGACTTTAAGCAGCTTGAGCAGCTCTTAATCACACATTCTTGTATTTGATATTACTAGGTTTCTTCCACTAAATATTTTTCCAAGAAGAATGTGATTGTCAAGACATTCTCTGATAACTAAGAACAATTATGCGATTGCCACAAAATTCACTGTTTTGCTTCCATTTTTTGTCCGTAAATAAAATTGGTTTCCAAATTCACTATTCTTATTGAGTTGTGATAATTTTGGACGAGTAAAAAGCATTAATAAATGTATAATATTATTGTTAGTTAGATTGTGATAATTTTGGACGAGTAAAAATAATTAATAAGTGTTTGATCTTAAACTAATTTCACTTTATATATGATAATATTATTTTTAATCTTGTAATATGGAAATATTTTTTAAGATTTTTAAATTATTTTGTTGTAATATTATATTATTAAATTATAGTTAATAATTATACTGACATCTATACAGAAAAATATCATCTCAATATTCACCTATTTTTACAAAGTAATGAAAGTACATACTGCACCACTCCTAATTACGTTTAGAAACTAAAAGAACACTATTTTTAGATATTTGAGACAAAAATTGTCGATTCCACCGATTCTCTGATCCGATCCACTGATCCTCTGATCCGATCCACCGATTCTCCGATCCGAAATGGGTATGGGTGAGGCCGAATCGATTCACAGATCTGATTTTTTAAAACCTTGTCTTAATCACGCATTCTTGTATTTGGTATTACTAGGGTTCCACCATAAATATTCGTTCAAGAAGAATGTGATTGTCAAAATGTTCTCTGCTAACTGAGAATAATAATTTAGTGATTTCCACAAAGACCATAAAATTTATTCTAAAATACAAAATGCTCCACTTATACACAAAAATTACAAAGAACGTCGGTCAACTTGCATTTTTTTTTTTTTCAAAATCACCCCTTGGTTTGAGGATAGAATCCTTGATTAGAATTTCAAAAAAAATAAAAAATTTTCCAATTTTTTTGTTAGTAGGGTAGTGCCCGACTGACAAAAAAACTATAAAATAAAATAAAATAAAATTTGGTCCAAGGATGTCCTTAGACTATGGGGCACTTTTAAAAAAATTAAAAAAATAAGTTGACCGACCTTCTTTGTATCATATTTTAGAAAAAAATTCATATTTTAGGAGAAATTTTAGGCTCCATACCTATATCACTTATAATAATTTAATCCAATGGACCAAATTCACTATTTTGCATCCATGGTAGATGAAATTGGTTCCCAAACTCACCATTGTTATTGAGAAAAAAAAAGAAAAAGAATCCATATATTCTGATCCAAATCATGAAAAGAAAAATCTAGACACCTAAATCATGAAAAGGACCATCTGGACTAAATAAAAGAAGAAAAAATTATGGCAAAATCTAGAGGAGACAATCTAATATTACTAGAGCAATTATGAATCTTCATCTTCGGTAAAGAAAATAAAAAGAGAAAAATAAAATTATTGATATCTTCATCTTGTTCATGCAGAAAGTTACTTTGAGCACAAACTATATCGGCAAATTGGACAAGACTGATTGCACCCGAGCCACTTGTATATGCAGTCTTCATGATATTGATGCAAACAAGGCATTTCCCTTATATTACTGGTGCCATTGCTCAACTCGGACATGCATATAACACATACATCTTCTTTTGTGTTGGTCGCTACTACTAGCTTAAAGGACTCCACCAAAGAGACCTGAGGTCGAAGAGAAATCTCGACCTTATTTCGAATTTCAGATACAAAGTTCTCCAAAATCTCCGGTTCTAAGTCACCTGCTTCATCATTCACCTTCAATAAATTAGTGAAAGTCATTTTTTCTTGTGGCCCATTGGGATTAGCACGAAGCGCCTCGGCTGCACCAAACATGTAGGCTGCTGTGATCTTACCTAGGTTAGGTATCACCAGGTCTACTTGCTTGAGTTCTTTGTCCATAAGGGAGATGGCATCTTCTAAGGTTGTCGGCATGTTTTGAGCAGTAGAAATCATGAAACATCTTCTTTCCTTCATTCCAACTCTTAGTCTAATGATGAGTTTTATAAGTAGGTGGTGAGTATTTTCGCGGGGTGGGTAGCAGGTGAGAGTGAGTTTTAGTCTTACATCCGTCCAAGCCGGTGTGCTTTGGTTGGGCAGAAGAGTTAAAAAAGAGAAAGACATTGCTACTACAATGAACAAGACAGAAACAACAAGAGATCGGAGATAGAAATAGAGAAAAAGATAGTAACAACTAGAGATGGGAGATGAAATAGCGAAACAGAGAGAGATGAGAGCCAAAGTACAAATAAAGTTGATGCAGTTAAAGCTGAAACTGTGGAGAGAGAATAGAATAAAGTTAAGAAAAGAGAACAAGGGAGAGGAACGTGAATTTGAAACAGAAGAGAGAATTAAATAAAGTTGAAATAATGAGAGAGGTTTATAATGCGTTGTTAAAGAGGAAGAGAGAAAAATAAGGAGAGATGGGATTGATAAGATAGAAAAAACAAAGAAAGATAAGGATTGTCTTAAACTTGAAAAACGAAGAAAATAATAAGAGGAGGGGGAGCACCTGCGTGTATATATTGACATAAGAGAGGGAGGAGTTTCCTTTTCTTCTTTCATGATAGGTAGATTTGGTTTGGTTGATGAGATAAAAGAGAGGGTTCCTTCCTTTCTTGATTTGATTTACATGATAAGGACAAGATAAACATAAATTTGGTTTAGTTGATGAGATAAGAGAGAGGGTTCCTTTCTTTCTTGGTTTGATTTACATGATAAAGACAAGATAAACATAAATTAGCATTTGAAGAGAGAGGGAGATTATTCCTTGTTCTTGAGAGAGAGAAAGAGGTGTCTCCACTTTTGATGGAAAGAGAGATTTTCTTCTCTCTTTATTGGCCAGATCAAAACCAGCGGGGGACTTGCAATGTTAAAGAAATAATAAGATAGACTAAATTACAGCGTTTTTGAGAGAGAGTATCATTTTATAGGAGAGAGATAAAGAAGTAGATCAAGATAGGGATTAGGGACACGTAGGAAAACCAATTTAAGATTGAACTATTGCTAAATCAAGATTTATACAAGTTCTAATTACTTTCGGAAAGTTGATTTCAAATGGGCGACTTATTTCTTGCTGTTTTCGATGTTGGATTTTTTTTATGTTTTAAAAATGGAAAATGGTTTTATAGAGCTGTAGCCCTATCAAAATAAATAAAGCCTCACCTCATAATTCACAAAAAGTTATAATTCAAGCATTGGAAAACTTTACATGGATCATCACGACTTGAACCTATTAGTTGTCAAAAAAATTATGATTTTCAACTCCAAAAATATGTATATTGTAAGAAATTATCTAAACCGTCCATTTCACCCTAAAATTGAGTATTTATAGATCCGCATGATTTGTACCATTTCTTGAGTTTCAAATTTTATCATCGGTGATGAAAATTGATTTAGATCCACCATGGAGATTTTCGATGCCAAAAGTGCTTTTAAAATGAGTATTTGAGGTGAGGCTTTATTTTGTTGTTATAAAACCTACGCCCTATAGAAACTTTATCCGTTAAATTTTGTTTATTGGGACTCGAAAAAGTTTCTTATGTTTCTCACTAAAATAAACTCTAAGCTTTTTAATCTTTATTTTTAAAACCAATTATAACACTTTCTTAATTATTAAAATTTTTATTGTCTATTTTTTCAATTAAAAATAAGGCTAAGGAAATATGCCATCTTTATCCTATTAACTAAGGCTAAGCTCTTAAATTTCTCTTAATTACCTTAATTTTTTTACCTTTGTAATATGGTACTATTTTTAATTTTTCAATTACAAATTTTATTATATATTAAAAATAATTTTCATCAGTTTAAATTGTTTTTAATATGATCTTGTGCCTGTCCATTGCAAAGACCATGAATGTATTTTTTTAAATGTGTAATTCTTTGTCTACCGCTTTCCCAAGGATGATCGCCTTTCTATGGCTCGGCTTTAGATCATATTGTGCCTACAGTTGGCCTCGCGGGATCAAATTGAACATTTGGTCCGACATGCAAGACGCCTAGTTAGAGGGATTTTTATGACAGAGAAATTTTCAAGTCATTTTTAAGTCACCTTATGACCAAATATATTGAAAAAACATAAATTGTTTTGAGCTCTTAAAACCTAATATTGTTTTCTATATTTATTTATTTGTTTATGGAAAAGTATACAAAGAGACCTTTTACTTTTAATGTAAAATGCATAATATATGATTAGTCCTAAATTTGAAAATAAAAAAATTTATTCCTTTTTAATTTCCATTTTATCATTTCCACACCAATAAAATTTTGCAATTATATGCTATGAGATCGTTTATCTTTATTACAATGTACTTCTAGCCATTATACAGCTTAGGGTGTGACATAAAGTTCAAAAGAGTTTTATTTGAACTCTAAGTCTAGTCAAAGACATACAAGTACCTGATTTAAAATTTGACGGACAAAAGTGATTGTAATTGTACTAAGTGTTTTATATTCTTTATCTAAAATCCATGTAGTAGATGTAAAAGAAGAAATGGAATAATAAATCTCAAATTTGGCGCATAAATTCTTTTGGACCCTACAAAGAAGCCTATTAAACAAAATTTGGGAAAGCCCCAGAAAATTCTTTTTCTTGAACTCATTGACCGAAGGCCTTCTATTTCATGAGTTGTTGGATTAAAGCCTTCAAGAACTCATAATTCATTTTAATATTACGAAGCAATCTACGGAATTTGAGATCAAAAGAAGTCCACACAATTCCCCAAGCTAAAAATACTCTTGTTTTCTTTCCTAGAGTGGCGAGTTTATATTTAAAATGTTTTCTCTCCTCCTAAAGTTGGGAAAGGTTCTATACTTCCCCGACAATGTAGAAGATCTGTGCTTCCCCTACCATGCAGCCGCCCAATTTTGATCAAGTGAGACACTCACCATTTGATTTTAGATCCGATGCCTCAGAGTATTTTATTTTTAATTTTTTTATAAGAATTTTATGAATATGAAATTTGGTAGTGTCTTCTTCTCATTGTGGTGCACCAACAAAAATATTAAAATTTAATTTTTCGATAAAATATAATGACCAAAATACACCTTGAAAATTTTAGGGGTATTTTGGTCATTGTATTTTATTGCGAATATTTTTTTACAAGTGCTAGAATAATAGAGGATTAGACACCCAAAATTTGGTATCAAAATATTTTTTAAAAAATTAAAAATAAAATAGTGTTGTGATTGGCGCAATCTTAGCCCTCCATTCAGTATGGATGGTTAGATAAGAAGAAGTATATATGTCCATGTTAAAAGGGATGCATAGAAAGCTTGCTCGTTAAATGTTTAAATTTTTTTCTTAATTTCAGATCAGTGCAAAGGGCTAATCCTTCGGCACAAATTTCAGCTGAAAGTTCTCCTAAAGTGTAAGAAGAATAAGGGATTACTCCCCCATTTTTATTTTTAAGATGGGTACAGACTTTCTCAGCAAAGAGATGGGGAAGGCCAGAAATAAATTTCTCCTTCCAATGATCAAGATTACTATCTTCTCATAAGAGCAATCGTAAGAAGAAAACGTCTTTATACCATTTATAATGGGATAAGGTAGGGCATTTAAGATTGGAAAGTAAATCTTCTTATCGTACTTCAAGAAGGGACGTGCTACCAACAAAATGAAGAGTGATGGTATATATTAAAGTATTAACAACGTCACTTTCGCTGTGAGGCACATCTTGATTGAATTCATTTTTTGCTATCCAATTTTTTGTAGCAGTAAGGATTTGATTTTTTGTAGGATCATCCATATGGATGTCCCACCAACCTTGAAGCCAGTCAGTAAAGCCACAGACTATGGCTTTTGCAACATCTTGGTCATGGCTACCAGCTATTTTGCATGCAATTGCATACATTGTCATATATTTCATAGTATCGAGGATTTGATGGTTAGACTTTCTTCTTTTGTTAATGTATTACAATTACAATATTCAATTTCTGAAGTATCGTAAATTAAATCTTCATCATTAATATTTCCTATTTCTGAATCATTAGAACTTAAAGTGTCTGATATACTATCAGAAGAATTTTCATCATCATATAATTGGATTACTTCATATAACTGATTTCTAATATTTTCATCAAGTATGATGGAATCTATCTGTTTCTTTACTTGACAACTATTTTTAACCTATTTCTTTTAAATATTTCTTTTAATTAATTTTTGCAAGCAACAATTTATAATAACAAATAACCCAGATTGTAATTAACGATTATTTTTAACAATCCTAGATAATACAAAAATATTCCAATTATAGCAAGAACAAGAATTATAGATATGTCTAATATAATCCAACTAGTATAAACAATATTTCTAATTTTAGTGCTAAACACTATCTTAACTTGTATTACAAATAGAGAAATAAACACAAACTTTTATTACACAATACTTACTGAGTACATATACAATAACTGGAAAACATCTTCCATTCTTGAGGACAGTATCTCGGAAGGGAATTAAAGTTGCAGTCACACATATTCTAAATACATAAAAAAGGTAAGAATTGTTACCAGAGCGAAATCCACACTAGATATATTACAAAGAGAAATCCACACCGAGTATATACATATATAACAGGAGGCCTTTTCAGAAGAAGAGAGAAGAGAGGAGGCCTTTCTAAAGATTGAAGAGAGGGAAGAGAAGAAAGGAGCAGAAGAAGACTCAGAACTTGCTTTGAAAGTGATTCAAGACTGCCTCGCTGAATGAGGGGCTTGCTCCTTATATAGCTGAGAAGAGAATCTTCCTTTTTATCGAACGGCTGTCTTTAATGCAGGTGGACGGTTCGATAGTCTGTGGGTGGAGATAGTGGGAGACCGAAGATAGCGGAAGACAGAAGAAAAGTAGCTTTTCAAGATTCCTTGAAGGTTGATTGGAGACAACTGGGCCGGAATAGCTGGCTGATGAAGACTCGTCTTGTCGTGTAGCATCGACAAGATTGAATAGATGTCGGTGGAGGCACCTTTATCAGATTCTTCTTACTTTTTGTACAGTAATTCTTTTAACTTTTGTATAGGTGATAGATTCTTTGTACAGTGAGGTAACTTGATGTGACCTTTACAGGTGGCTTCTTTACAGCTGTGATATTCTTTGGATCTTCGGGTCGTCTTTGAGCCGTCAGATCAGAATGGCTTTTGGCTAAAGGCTTCTGAGTCTTCACTCTCAGTCTGAGAGTCAGAAGCATCTTCTTCAAAAATCTGGAGGAGTTGTTTTTCTAACTCTTCTCTAGTTGCCTTCGGATTTTTCTTCCTCATTTGTTGGATATATTCAGCAAAATGATTTGGATTCTTATTAGTATATTGCTCAGAGGATGGGGATGGACCTGGAATTCTCTTTAATTTTATTGACTCAGGTTCCAGGTTTTTTTTCTCAAAAACA